TTAGCTATCCTCTATATTTACCCAGTGATTTCACATTTGGCAATTTAATCAGCAGTCCCCATTACCAATATGATCATCTAAGTGGGCGTAAATACTAAACCTGAGTAGAATTATTACTCTAGAAAAGTTATTTTTTTCACCAACAAAATACCTTAGCTATCATTGCTTTTTATTTATAGAAGATTCAGTCTCCCCATGATTACAAGACTCTATTCACTCCAATTGTAATTCACACACCTTCATGAGTGGGGAAGAGGGATGGAATGATGGTTATCACCTAAGAAGCAACATCAGGGATACCCACAGGCGTATATCCCACAAGTGAATCTTACCCATGACTCGGGATCATGTAGCCGAAAAGGTCTGGGAACAGTTGCCTTGGGAAATAATAAACTATCAATTGTAATAGTCAGTCATAAACAAGCACACTTCCATTTGATGTACTCATAACCAGGCCTACCAATATACTGATCTCAAGATAAAAGTCTCTCTATGGTGTTTGCCTATCCAGTGAGTAAATCACCCAGCACACAGATTAATTATTTAGCAGTTAATCCATTAAATACAGACATGTTACATACATATTAAATACCAAGACAGAACACATAAAATAAAACTAAGGGAAAAACCTATTAAATATATGCTTTCTAACCATCTCTTATTCATGACTATAGGGCTATTACCCAACGTGAAAAGGAATCTCCTCTACAGCATTGGAGGTTCCTGATATTTAATCAATAGGTGGAACCAACATATTTTTTTGTTGTTGTTCTTATACAGATCATCAAGAGATAATCTTTTTTATTTTTTTGAGACAGAATCTCACTCTGTCACCCAGGCTGCAGTGCAGTGGTGCAATCTCAGCTCACTGCAACCTCTGCCTCCTGGGTTCAAGTGATTCTCCTGCCTCAGCCTCTCAGGTAGCTGGGACTTCAGGCGTGCACCACCATGTCCAGCTAATTTTTGTATTTTTAGTAGAGACAGGGTTTTGCCATTTTGGCTAGGCTGGTCTGGAACTACTGACCTCAGATGATCCATCTACCGCGACCTCCCCAAATGCTGGGATTACAGGTGTGAGCCACCAAGCCCAGCCAAGAGATAATCTTAAGATATCATCTTGTTTCCATTTTGTTTCTTTGTTCAATTCAGCATCATCATGATTCTAATACAGGTAATGACAATTCAGTTATTTGATCCAAAAGAGCCAAACTATTACTGCTGCATAAGGAACAATCATGTTATAGCTTACCCATGTTAACCAATGTTAATTTCTGTGTGTTTTTAAATAGTCAGATGTCTTCTCCCTCATTCATTTAAGAGGGACTCTAGGGGTTTATCCACCTCAATACTTAACCACCCTTCAATTCACCTGAAATATATTACTGTGAGTTTTTGGAAGGAAAAATGGATATTAAATAGGGAACTTCTAAGCTTGTCATTCAAGAATCTCCAAAACTGGTCCTTAATGACTTTTCCATCTTTCTTTTTTAAGTTTAAATTTTGCCCACATATGCTTTATGTATTTAAATCAAAATTTTTATTTATTATTTTAGTTTTTGATTGACACATACAATTGTATTACATACAACATGTTTTGAAATATATATATACATTGTAGAATGACTAAATCTAGCTAATTAACGTAAATTACCTTATATAGTTATTTCTGTGGTGAAACACTTAACATCCACTCCCTCAGCATTTTTTGAGAATATGATATCTTGTTATTAATTGTAATAATTGTGCTATCCAAAGAGTGCTTCAAATTGTTTGTCCCATCTAACTGAAATGTTGTATTCTTTAAACAACATCTTCCCAACCCTCCCCCACCAATTTTCCCAGCCCCTGGCAACCACCATTCTGCTCTATTTCTTTGAGATAAACTTTTTTAGACCCCACATATGAGTGAGATCATGTGACACCTGTTTTTTTGTGCCTGATATTTCACGTAGGATGATATCCTCCAGGTTCATCCTTCTTGTCACAAATGACAGGATTTTCTTCTTTTTTTATGGCTACATAGTATTCTACTGTGTGTGTGTGTGTGTGTGTATACATACACACACACACACACACACACCAAATTTTGTTTGCCCACTCATCCACTGATGAGTCAACATTTTTAAAAAACATTCAAGATTCTCTATGTGCAAGAAACTACCTCAGATATTTTGTAATTTTGAGTCTTTGTTCCAGCCATTTCATTCCGATCTGGAATATTCTTTGTGTTTCTCAAAATCTAAATTTTTCAGGGCTTAGCTTTCTAACCCAACCCATTAGCCAGACTCCCTTTCCTTAATTCCTGCAAATCTTACATTTTTACAACTTGTTTGGACTATATAATTTGATGACATGCCTTTATTGTTCTCATGTTAAACATGGTTAAATAATTTCTCAGGCATTTTCATTTTATCTTCACTGCTCTAGTGGTATGGTCTGAATGTTTGTGTCCCTCCAAAATTCCTATGTTGAAATCCTAAACCCTAAGGTGATGGCACTAAGAGGCAGGACCTTTAAGAGGTGAAGCCCTTATGGGGTGAAGTGCCTTATGAATGGGATTATTACCCTTAATAAAAGAAGCCCAAGAGACCTTCACACCTTCTGCCGTGTGAAGACACAGTGAGAGGTTGTCAGTGTGCAAACCAGAAGAGCGTTTTCACCAGAACTCAGCCATGCTGGCAGCCTGGTCTCACACTTTCACCTTCCAGAACTATCAGAAATAAAAATTTGTGGTCTATAAGCCACCATGTTTATGGTATTTTTGTTATAGCAGCTTAAACAGACTAACACTTCTAGTTTGCTGGCATTGGGAAGCTTAAAGTGCTCAGATCAAAAATTCATTTGTAATTAGGCAGTTCCAATTGGAAATGATTTTTAAATAAACCCCTTAATGTAAAAGTTGGAGCAGTGGTTTGTAGCTAACAGGCTTTGAATCCTGTTACTAGAGAGAGGGGGAAGGGGTAGGCAAAGGTGGCTTTAAGCCATTATGCGTGCACGTATGCATACACATATATTCTGTTATTTTCAGCTATGGGTAGGCACTCTAGATAAAAATCATTAAACAGCCTTTCTTACATTATTGGAGTCATTTTTTTCTATCAGCTTTTCTTATTTCAATAAAGGGGACTACAAAATCTTTTAAAATTATAAAGGGGTCCCTAGACACATAAATTGGCTAGTACTCATCCAGAAGGTTTTGAGACACTATGATTCATTTCATTAGGACACATCTCACTTGTAGCCATTCTTCCAACTAGCTGATATATAGCAGAATAGAGAACATACTTGTTTCAGAAGAAACTCCTAAGCAATCTGCCATGGTGAACTGTGCTCCAAAAGAGTCAGTTCCAAATACCAATAGTTAGCAAAACTGGGCAGAAGGGAACAATTGAACTTGTCCTGGAAGGAGTTGAAAAGTATTGTTCCTAATATTTATAGGATGAGAGGTATGTGTGTTTAGTCTTCCAGTAGGCCTAGCCAAGCTGATGCTTATTCCCAAAGCACAGAACCATTAGGAGGCCTCTTTCAAAAAGGCTCCATCCCTATGAAATCTCGCAATCATTATTTTGGATGGGATTTGGGTCAATGCTAAAGAACTTAATGACAAGAGCAGTTGTGGAAGTTTTTCTTTCTTTCTATTTTTTTACATTGTACAGGATGGAAGTACATTCTACTTGAGAGAATTTACTTCTACATGCAAGATTTACATGCTAGGCATCAATGAATGTTTTCCAGAAGGGAAAGTCAGGACTCTGAAACAATTGATCAGAGCACGTGAATTAACTCCTTTGTGTGATATTTTTCTCTTATTCATAATCTTCTATTATGCTCTCACCAAGGAGAATGACTCCTTAAAGCCTCTAAAAAGGAAGCAGTTCCCAAATCATTTACATTTGTTTTTTTGTTTTTAGTTTTCATTATCATCTTTTCTTTTATAACAATAGATACATTCAAGATTTTTCTATAGGATTATGCAAGTTGTTGGTCTTAACTTTTTTTTTTAATGTCCATAGATTTATCTGTTCACTCAACTATGCTTTTAATTATTTACTGACTTAATTTATTAATTCATTTTAATAAAATAATCTCTCAACTTCTTCATTCAACACACTCATTCATTTTTACATTCATTCAATATTTATTGAGTGCATACTATGTGTTTCAATACTGTATTAAGTCCTGGGAATAAAATGATAAATTAAACCAAATATGATCCTTGATATCATGGGGAAGTTAAAATATGGTGGAAGACAAAGACAGAAAAATCACATAAATAAATGTAAACTGTAACTGTCATAAAGGAGAAGTAAAAGTATAAAAACCTGTAATAGGAAGAGTTGACCCAACCATGATTTTCTGAGGAACCACCAATGAAGCTGGGATATGGGAAATGAGAAGGAGTTACAGAAATGAAGAAGAAAGGAAAAGTGTTTCAGGCAAAGGATGCGCTCACTACATACCAGTGGCCTACAGAGGAAGGGAGGATGGTGAATATGCAGAACAGAAAAGTCAATGCAACTGAAGAGGAGGTAGGAAATGGCACACGATGAAAGATGTAGCTGGGGGAAAGATCATTAATGCATAGTCTGGAAAAATTCAGATGTGGAAGAACAGGGTTTATTCTGTCAGCTGTTCAAATAAGCCTTTCCAAATCAAGTCAGCTCTTATTCCCTCCAAGCTCAAGTTTGCACCAAATCAGCAGCAGGCTCCAAAAAGCATCTCAAAAACTTTGCTCAATTTAGAAGTGCAGTCAATACAGGAATAAAAATGAGTGCCAAGGGAAGCATGGTCCCCATTGTAAGCATCGAAGAGGCTGATTTAGAAAGTGTTCTCTTGTTGTTGCTTATAGATTTGCTTATTACTTGTTTCTGGAGTAGTACCTTTGGACTAAAGATTTCTTTACTCCTTTTCTTGGCTTGAACACTTACGCTTGGCAAAGAACAAGTTAGTTTAGTGATTTAAAGAGTTGTGTTTTTTTTCTTGCCAGTATAAAGACTCACCTATAACATTAAGCTCTGCATTGGAAAAGATAACTCCATGTTTATTCTCTGCCAAACACTGATACATGCCAGCATCTGAGAGGTTCACTACTGTTATGTTGAGTGTTCCTTGCTCAATTTGAATTCTATCCTGTGAAAGAAAAGAGGAACATAAAAACAATGACCTTCTACATCTGAGACTTTAAGGAAATTTTACCATGTGCAATATGAAGGAAGCTTAATGGGAAGAAAATAGCCATCATATAAGCAATTTACATAACACGATCTATTTATCTGTCAACTAAATTTGTGGCAGGTAAGATGCTAAATGGAACAACCAGTACATCAGTTGGTAAATGGAATTTAAATTGTAGGATTCTCTTGAGTTTTCATTGATTTAATAGTGAAGCCATTCAGATTAATATCCCCTCTAAACAGAAGAACTTGACATTTAAAATGCTTTTTTACTTTAAGGCTTTGTACTAACCAGAGTTAGGGGGTTTTGAAATATAACCAAATTTACTGTTTAGAGTGCTTAAAACACTCAAATTTTGGGCAAATGACACTTTGAAGGTTAATAAGATTACAATCTTGGGTGAAACAGAGGCAAATATTTAATATCAGTTGAGGTGTACTAAAACATGTAGATATTAATAGTTTAATATTCCCTTAGTTTATTGCTGTCAGTGATGTGATTTAAGCTGAGGACCATCTGGCGGCCAACGTGAAGGAAGCAAAGTTAGTATGTGGCACAGATCTTCCTGATTTGTCACCTTGAGGATATACAACTTGGGTATCAATTTTCATAAGTATCAAAAAGGATGTCCTTCTCTCCAGGGGACTTGGCAATAAAAAAAACCATATATATATATATTTATTACATTATATATATATAAAGAGGCACTAGTTTTCTGTTTGCCACAGGGTCGTAAGTTAGCTGAGTGAATGCTTTATTAGACTTTGATAAAATCTAGACATCCGTATTCCCTCACATTATGAAACCAGACCAATCGTCCCACAGAAATGATAATTACTGGTTTCTGAATAAACACAGAAATTGAGCTACTGAGCTGCCTAATTTTAAAACTTGAAACTTATCTTGGTCACATCTGAGTTAACTCCTCAGGAGGCTGACCCTCAAGCAAGGGACTCAGACTCACCAGATCATGGCATCTAGATGTGAGACACCAAACCCTCCATCTGTCATGATTGTCTCTGTACCCCTCCCTAATTCCTTTCTGCACATAGCTTCATCCCTTCCCGAGCTACAGGAATTCCCAATTTTAGTCATTTAGAGAGATGGATTTGAGAATGATCTCCCATTCTCTTTGCTAAAGCAGCTGAACAAGGCCTTATTTCCTGGCAATACTCACTGCCGCAGTGATTGGCTCTCCATACAGCAAGCAACAAGACCTAGGCCAACCCCCTGGCATTCTGGTAACAATTACACAATGGAAGGAAAAATACCAGTACCTAGGTACCTATACTTTTGCAATTTGTTTGAGTTTGGCTTTTATAATTGACAGAATCATGGACAAGCTGGAGCCCTTCCAACAAATGGAGAAGGTAACATGAGGCAGGGGACGGGTTAGGCAAAACAGCCCCTTTTCTCTTCCTGTTGCATAAATTCATGCGGGGGCCATTGTTCCAAGCAGGCACTGTTTCCTGTGTGGCCTCCTGGAGGAAGAAATCTGAGCATGAGACTGCCTCTCAATTTGGAACCTGAGGAAAATGTCAAATTTCAATTAACATTTGAAGCTCAGTAGGAAAATACATAAGGAAAATTAAATTGGACACAATTGTTCCTCATTCTCAGGGTCTCCCACTCTGCCCCTGCTTCACTCAGATTTCTTTGTCAGAGTGTTTCTCTATTTAGCTGGACATCCTGTATTGTGTCAATACCACTTTTCTCGTAGTGGATCCTGGAATGTATCTTCCTTTGTATCTTAGCACAATTGCATGTTCCAGACCTTCTGCATAACTTTCCCATTATAAAGCCACAGATATTAATCTTTGAAGACCAAAGATCCAGTACAAGAACTTAATTGAAGGCTGGAGAATTGAATTTATGTGCACTTTCTATTTATCAATTGAATTCACTTTCACTTTTTCCACTATACTTTTGTTTCATTGTATATTATTTTAGAAACAATTCACCATTCTCACATTTCCATGGCAATGAGGCCATATTACACATGATAGTCAAGACTAAGACACAGTTACCATTAATTTGCTTACCTGAGTTAGCAGAGGTTCACCATTTTTTAGCCACCTGTATGTAGGTTTAGGCCTTCCATTTGCTTTACATTCCCAGAAGACATTTTCTTCCATGGCCACGTGAATATCATTTATTTTTTGAATCCAATTAGGTTGGGCTATAGCAGTTCAAAAGGCAGAGAAAAGTTGTATATATTCAGGGTAGACTTAATCTATCTTTATCATATGCAATCAAAGAACAAAAACACACTTATAATAAAATTCCTTTTCCAGATGTTATGCATATAACAAGTCTGGGTAGATGTTCAGGGAGGTGCACATGCCCTAATGTGAATACTGTTTTTGTAGTTCATATTGTGGTCTTTTAATGTCTAAAGGCAAAATGGATAAAGCTACAAATATCATATGGCAAAACTAACTGTCCCTCTCCTGTATCTACTATTCCATTATTCCTTTTTTCCCTTTCAGTAGAGAGTATCTTCCCCTCATCCCCCTCCTGCTTTTGACTGGGCTGGTGTATTCCCAAGTATGCACTACATTTGCCAGACCGCTTTGCAGCTAGAGGTAATCATGTAACCAAGTTCATGCCAACTGTATATGTGTGAAAGTGGTGACAGCAACTTCTGGGTTATTTACTGAAAGATACTTTGCCTAACCTCTTCTTGCCCCTTCACATTGACTGGAAAAAACTGACAATTGAAATAGCCTTGGATGCAGACATGGAAGCTACATAGGATGAAAATGCTGACCTGTCAGCCTTGGACCATGAATGACCATGTGGAGCAAAGCAGCTCCAACCCATCTGCCAGTTTTGGGGAAAATAATGTGAGAGACAAATAAACTTCTTATCTAAGCTACTTTATTTTGGAGTCTCCTTTGTTAGAATAGCTTAGCATGACCCTAACTAATATACTTCACTCACACATGTTGTATAGATAAATTTTGTGACTCCTTTCTCCTTTAAGACTATCATCATTGTTGATTATTGATTTCATATTGATAGAATGTTATCTATAGGAATATGATGCTAGAAGCCCAACTCTTTAAATGAGTCCTGATTTTTATCAAACCTTCTCAGGAAATCAAGTCCTGCCCACAGTCTAACACAGGAATTCAAAGCAGCACTGAATTCCCTCATTGCCCACTGCCATGCACTACCCCTGCCACCCAAATGATACCATATTTTCTGTACTTCATTGAAGTCACATTTTCTTTCCTTATTTTCAGTAGATATAAAGACAATGTTAATTCCATGTTCCATAAAAAGTCTTCATAAATATCAAATCTTGCCTCAAGCACAATTCATGCCATTAGGAATAATGATAAATATATTTAGGTAGAAGACCTTCAGCCCAAAGTCATGCAGAAGAACCATAGCTGTCATTCTGGAATTTAATGTGTTCACAGGGCATTTCTACAGGGTAATGTCTATCAAGGTAAATCTAATAATCAAAGTTGATGTCAGTATTTAATTAGGAGATGCTACTCATTATTCTTAACATCTCTTCCAGTTGACTTGACCTCAGCATCTTCCTTCAACCAGGCTTCAAATCACCCATAATTTAATTCAAAAGGAAATGGCTACTGTTGAGGTCAAACTGTATATTTTACCTTTTCAATAATCAACAAAACTAGAAAAACACTCAACAAGTCACTTAACCAGCAGAGGTCTCTAGGCCCTTGAATAAATGCTGCTTTTTTCTTTTCTTGTCTATAAGCAATTTTATGTTTTTCAAGGAGCAAAACACAGTTTTACAAATCCTCTACTCATGGGATGATGCATTGCTGCATATGAGGAGAGGCCAGAAGGGTCAACTTCAAAAAAATTTAGAACATCAACAAGCATTAACTTGAATGAAGGGTTATAACCTACATCCTGAAAAGAGCTGCAAGTCTTCGTTGTTCTTTATCTTCCTGCTGCTAATGCAAAGGAAGCTAAAAAGGTTCTCTGCTTGGAGAATTTGATGTGTAACCCTGATAGGGCTAATGTAGTTGTATGCCTGATTTCACATTCAACCTGCTGAATATTTACCCCCTACAGAGTCCATGAAAACAAAGCAAACAAGAAAAGCCACAGAAATCTGTGTGGAATATTAACAACAAAGCCAAACTTTTGAAAGAGAGTAAGGAAAAAAGATGGAAGGGCAAATGTAACTTATGAAGCAATGTCAAGTTGGAGTTCAAAAAGGAAACATCAAAACCACATGCAGAGACAGAAACTTCAATGTCATGGATTTCCTGTAACACTTGGGCTTACTTATTGCTTTCTTTCAAAAATGCAGAAAGCTGGAAGCAAAACCTTGCAATCTCAAAAAGCAGGTGGGGCAGAGAAGGGAGGGACTGGAGAGAATTTTGAAAAGACCTTGCAAAGTTCCAACTAGTTAAGCATAGAAGGTCTCATCTCTTCCCACAGGGTTATAGAGGTCAAGGAGTTGGAAAAGAATAGTCAGTGGTAGTTATTTGTGCTGGCCAAGGTGAAATCAACAACAAATTCAGTGTCTGTGAGAGATCACCTGGTACTTTCTTTGTTTTTAAAGTAAAATTAATTCATAGAAGACAAATTTAAACTGGTATAAACATTTGCCTCTCAAAGTACATATCTGAACATGGGCTCATAAAAATCAGAAATGAAATATTATTTTATAGACATGACAAAGAGAGATAGTTTTTATCTTAACATGCCAATTGCAAATCTACAAAGCAAAAGCCCACGTAGTAAAAGTTTTCACTCTTGCACACTTAGATTGGATGAATCATATCTAAGTGAGTGAGTTTTTCATACTAGAATAAATGAAGTCATGTGCTTGATGAAAATGGCTCATATATCTTTATTTTTTGGGGGGGCTTACCTCGTTCAAAGTCCTTTGATGACAAAAATCCCAGTTTAGCATATTATAAGAGATATCATTAGCCCCTCCCCCTTCTGTGATAATGCATTGAGTACAGGGTATTTATCACTTAATATCAAGGTTCAACTTCATTTTACAACTCCATATTTAAACACAGGTTAAACATCCCTAATCTGAAGATCTAAAATCTGAAATGCTCTAAAATTCAAAACATTTTAAGCACTACCATGATGCCACATGTGGAAAATTTCACACTTGATCTCATAAGACTGGTCGTAGTCAAATACAGTGAACACTTTGTTTAATATATTAACTTATCCAAAATATTAAAATATTACATAAATTACCTTCAGGCTATGTGTATAAGGTATACGTAAAACATAAATAAACTTCATGATTAGGCTTGGGTCTAAATATTCCAAAATCCTAAAAAATCTAAAATCTGAAACACTTCTAATCCCCAGTATTTCAGGTAAAAGATACTCAACCTGTATCAGCTCAGAAGAAGGTCTGAACAGGTTAGTTCATTATTTCAGTTCTATTATTTCAGAAGCCATTTCTAAATGTCTTTTTTTGGGGGGTAATATATGCAGATCTCACATATTAAACAGAGTTAAACACATTAACATATTAAAAGAGAACCATCTATTTTGAACTTCCATATTCTTTCAAGATTTGAAACAAAAGAATTCTTCTAGGACTCCTTAAGCTGTTCTCAAACTACAAATTCAAATATAAGGTTAAATGGTTGTGCTGAGATTTGACCCTGTGACACTGTTTGTCTCTTGGATACATAAACAATCTCTTCCTTTCAATCTTTTGTTCAATAGCTGCCAGAAATGACCAAAATCAACATTTGTGTATTCCAGCCATTAGAATTGGGCAAGCATCTTATTCAATAATAATTTATATTGCAAGCAGATATAATTTAAACTCAGTGGGTCAAACAATTCTCAGGAGTATTTAACTCTTCAATTTTCTAAAAACAGAAATTTCTAAAAGAAAGAAATGCCAACACATGCTTCAGACCTTAGAAACTCAAAAATTGAAAAGAAAGGATACGATGGCAAAACAAACAAACAAACAAACAAAAACTTCTTTAAATTACTATCACAAAGATGACATGTAGACATTCACAGTTATTCCTGGTTGCTTATACAATTTTAGAGAAGATGAATCATCTCCAGGGAATGCAGGAGTTTCATTGACATTGCTTAAGAATTTTAATGATAGTAGAGCTTATGAGCCTGGAGATAATTACTTGGCTTCAGTTTACACCTATATAGAGATGCTTCCCAAATCTTTATCTCCAGCCTGGGACTCTTACACAACTGACAGAATCATCAAGATATTCTCACTTTACCTCAAATTCAATGTTCCCAGTATTGGCAATAGGAATACTCATTTTCCAGTGCTACTTAAGAGAGTCTACCAGTTTTTTATTACAGACTTAAACCTCTGACTTCCAACTGGCAGAAGTCACTAAAAGAAGGACCAACTCTACAAGAAATATGCATATTGCATTTTAGGGCAAGGTCAAGCTATGATGTTTGTTCAGCACTGACAATCTGCACTTCTCTGGCTTCAGACTCTCATCCACTCCCCACACAACACCAATCAGTCTCCTCACAGGGGTCTTCAAACTCAATTCCATGAAGCTCCAAGGGTTCTTGGAAGTCACTCCCTTCAACATTCATTCAACTTCTCAGTATTTAATACACAGCAAGGTGGCTTCATTCAATACAAAGCAGCCTTGCTTTTTATTAAATATTTCTTGTAAGTTTCATGTTAAAAAAAAAGTACCTTGTGAATTAAACATACACATACTTGCTGATAACTTGTTTTGTAAGAACAGCTTTGGAAATGTAGTCTGGAGACTGGATACCTGCTTTCTCTTTGAACTCAGAGAAGTTTGGACCGAATGATGTCTAACATTCCTTCTGATTTTAATAAGCGAAGCCTTTAGCCTTTAGATTGCCTCTTAAACCAACCGGATTCATAGTTCTCCTAGTTTTTCTATTAATTTGTGCTTCATTCAGACACTCTTATTTATGGTTTCTTCATCTCTATAGAACTTACAACTGACTTGCTTCTGGCAATGGTATGGGAGATGTCATCAGGCCAATCCTTTTACAGATAGCAATGATAAACTCAAGTCAGAATATAAAAACCAACTATATGAAGATACACTAGAAGGCAACTCAAAACAGCCATATTTCTATTAATAGGTATTCATCAATACATAAAACAAATATAACCATAGGAAGTAATCTATGTATGAGATAATGAATAAGATTTGTGAATGTGCT